AATTGCTGACCAGTTGCTCAGTTGTTCTCAACAATGCCCTGGGACACAAATTTCTCTACGAATGAATACAATCAAATAGTTGCACCTTTGATGAAACGGTTTCTGGAGTCAGTGTCTGATGTTTGTTCTGAACCCAGGAGGGCTCCTCTCTGCTGTTTGTTCCCTGTTTCTGTCCTGTGAACATACAGTCACTGTGTATGTTCACTAGATTCATGAATCTTCTCCCAGTTGCTTTTCAGAACCTCTGCTGTCCCTCCCTGTACTGTCCTTGAGAGCACCCTCCATGCTCTGTTGTGAATGAAGTCAGTTCCTTTGGAAAGACGTTTGGGGCTCTCTGTTTCATGGCCTGTTTACTTCATAGGAAAAATATCTGCCAGGGCTCTGGAGTTGAGACTGGGAACTATGGCAGTCTTCTCTCCAAATGAAACCCCCGCTGTAGGATCTAAGCATGCAACACAGGGAGCAGTAGCCTGAGGTCTTCTTGGCTTGCCTCTCTTGTGTGGAACCACCATGCTTTATGGACTGGAGAAGGACTCTTGAGGCCCAGTATTCTAAAGGAGCCACACTTAAGGTAGAGCTTCTGTATCACTTGCTTAGCACTTAGCCTCAGCAGCAGGCAGCTGGGGGAAGGAAGAGAAATAATGGAGATCATGATCCTCCCAGAAAGAAAACCCTTTGTCCAGGAGGTAGGGAGAGAGGGGAGCCCTGTGTTTTTGGCTGCATCAATCCAGCAGAAGTGTTTGTCTGGCTGAGCCGAGAGGAGAGGAGGGAAGCTGTTTTGGTTCAAATACCAGTTTCCTGCCTTTCTTACTGAATTGTCATAGATTTTCTTGAATAGATGTTTCTTTTTTACTTTTGCTTTTAAGACCATTTTCAGAGGTTTTAAGTGGCTGGGGTTATTTACATAGTTTTCACCAGTTCCACTGGGGAGCAGATCAGTGGAACTCCTCATGCCAGAAGTCCATCTGTCTCCACATGATTTTAACATCTTTCTTTTAAGAATTGTGGGTAGCCTTTAAGGATCCTTCATATCAGCAGATGGTAATGCTTTTTACTTCTGTCTTACAGGTTTGGAATGTAGACATTCATAAGTTTTAATGAAGGTTGAAGAATATGTAAAAACCCATGGAAAGATCTACCTAAGGAAAGCCCAAGGATATAAGGGAACTTGTATTTTCTTAATCCTCAGATTGGTGTGCTAATTATGAAACTCACATTAGTAACAATTATTCTACTTAATTAGGTATAATTATTAAGTTATAACTAATATTATTAGTTATATATAATTATTAATAATTATACCTAACTTTGAAACACTTACTAATTATAGAATATTTATTTTCTTTTGTACTTGTTAGGATTTCTTACTCAGCTGTTTTGCTGACATTTATTTTTTAAAGCACCTACTCGTGACACTCTTGTTAACTGTTTTCCGTATCTTTGGGTCTTTGGAGTGGTTTTTCTTCTATGAAGCTGGTACCTGATGCAAGAAAAATAATATGGGGTGCCTGGATGGGCTTGGTCAGTTAAGTGTTTGACTCTTGATTTCAGCTCAGGTCATGATCTCACACGTTGGTGAGTTTGAGCCCCGTGTCTAGCTCTATGCTGACAATGTGAAGGTTGCTTGAGGTTCTCTTTCTGCCCCTCTCTGTCACTCCCTTGTTGTCCCTTTGTCTCAAAATAAATAAACTTAAAGAAAAACTTTTAAGAAAATAATAGTAACTCATCACTTTTTCTACTCCTCCACAAAGAGTACCTCAAGCCCCATTGGTGTACTCAGAGCTGTGTTGATAATACAGAGATATAAGGTTGTTCTTCAAGGTATTTATTATCTAATGGGTACATAGATATATACTTCAAATGATAAATCACACTCATGATTTCAATCTTCTCTAGAAGGAAGGGGATGGCCTAGGATGGGATTATGGGCTTGAAGAAAGCAGAAAAGGTCTACAACAACCACATGTTCGATACGATAGGAATTTAATACCCAAGAAATCTTGTAAACAAAATGGTGTGGTATGGTGATCAAGAAGATTGCCATCTTGGGGTACCTGGCTGGCCCAGTGGAGTGTATGACTCTTGATCTTGGGGTTGTCAGTTTGACCCCACATTGGGTAGAGAGATTACTTTAAAATCTTTTAAAAAAGAAGAATATGGGCAGCTCAGGAGCCAGGCTTCCTAGAAATCCTGGTTCCACTTCATATGAACTCTGTGGCTGGTGTTGGGCAACTTACTACACTTTGTTTTGTGATTTAGACTCTTTAATTTATGAAAATAGAATTGGAAACACCAAATAACGCCTAGTCACTACCCTCATCATCATGGTCTTGATCATAGGTTTGTTGAACCTAGTGATTTTTGGACAGTATGAATTTGTAGTGTCATCAGACTGCAGGAGGTCGACATACCTCAGTAAATTTTTCAATAAGCTTTTCAAAATTGAAATATACATTCATGAAAGTACATAGATGATAAGTATACAACTCAATGAATTGTCACAAAATGAATTCATTTATGCCGCTATTACCCAGATTAAGAAATAAAACCGTACAAATTTCTCCTCAGGTACTTTTCCTGTCATTCCCCACTCTTCAGAGGTGACCACTGTCAGGCTTTTATAGCCATAGATTAGCTTTGCCTTTTTTTGAATGTCATGTAAGTGGAATCCTGTAGTGTGCAGTCTTCCGTATTCATCTTCTTTCATTTATTATCTTTGTGAGATTCATTTATGTAGCAGTGAATGTTATAGAAATGATTCATTCATTTGTATTGCTGTATAGTATTCCATGGTACGAATATATATTCTCCATTTATTCATTTTTTGTTGTGTTGTCTCCTTTTCTTATTGACATTTGAGAACATTATATATTCTAACATTCTAGACATGAGTCTTTTGTGTTGTAAATATCTTCTCTCTGTGTCTTGCTTTTGCCTCTTAATGGTGTCCATTCATTGAACAGAAATTCTTAATTTTAGGGGTGTGTGGGTGGTTCAGTTGGCTAAGCATCTGACTCTTGATTGCAGCTCAGGTCATGATCTCCTGGTTTGTAAGATAGAGCCCTGTGTCAGGCTCTGCACTGACACCACAGAGCCTGCTTGGGATTCTCTCTCTCCCTCTCTCTCTGTCCCTCCCCAACTCATGCACACCTGCACACATTCTCTCTCTCTCAAAATAATTAAATAAACTTAAGAAAAAAATATCAATGTTAATAAAGTCCAGTTTGTCAGATTTTTCCTTTATACCTAGTGCATTTTTTATCTGTTTACGAAATTTTTGCCTGTCTCAAGGTCATGAAGATAATTTCTGAAATCTTTTACCTGACATAATTGTATTTGTAATAAACTGGAATCAATTTTTGTATATGGTGTGAGATAAGGGGAAAGTTTCAATTTGTTTTTAAGTAGGCTCCACGCCCTGTGCAGAGCCCAGTGTGGGCTTTTTTCTGTCTGCTAATTGCTAAATGAGCATGTTACGATTTCAGTATCCAGAGTGCATATCAATCAATTACAGGTTATATTTGAATTCAATTAATATTTTAATATTTGTTGAGGACATGCAGAATGCCTGGCATTGCCTTGGTAACTCTAAACATTTAAACAGCTTTCCAAGATTGACATTACCTAAGTTAAGATCATTTTCAAAGATAATCATGAAATCAGTTTATTTCATAACCAAGTGCATATGGAAACTTTCATCAACGTTGCTTGTAATTCTTACTGTATATTCAAGGACACTCCTTGATATATTCCATAAGTGTTTATAGCAGTTCAAATCTTGATGTAAAAATGTCAGTATTATCCTCAAGGGCAAAAAGCTAAATATAGCTTCCTCCAGCATTGCCCTTTCTGCTATAACCATGTTTGTTGATTTGTTTCCCTGCTTTTTTATTCCTATATAAAGTGGGTGGTATCATATTAATGAAAGGCTTGGATAAAACCTGGACAATTTACACACCAATGCTATCTAGGTGTATTTTGTTTTTTTGTAAGCTAGTGAGGTCTTATGAGGTTTTCAAAAGCCATAGATGGTTTGTACTCAAGGGGAGAGTAAAAAAATAAAAACAAACACAGAGAGATAGGTGAACCATAATATGATTGTTAGCTTAAGCGTTAAGCAGTAAAAATGTTCAGGGGTAGAAATGAGAAGGCATATAATGCTTAAATAGCCTAATGTGACTGTTTGGGGCTAGTATTTTTGTATGTCAGTTAGGTTCTGTTTGTGATTTATAATGATTCTGAGTTTGAAAATCAGCTCAATTTCCTTCTTACTATTTGCATTAGAAAGACTTCTAAAAAAAGAACTGATGTAATTTTATTTTAGGGTACAGTGAATCTAAGACTACTCAAGTATACATAAGTATCCTAATAGGATTATTTTGGAGAACAGAGAGCATTTCCTTTAAACATTATTTTTATTACCACTCATTTATTAGTTCATTCATCTACATTAGTAAATATGATTTTTAGGATTGGATAGTACATAGTTGATTTTCTAACATGTTTTTCATTTTTGTGGAAATGTATGGTTTGATACATCTCTGAAAGTTCCTGTGGATTGCTTTACCTCCTTCAGAAAGATACCCTCCTTCATAGATGAATATTCTTGTCTTTACAGAAAAAAAGTCTTGGAGAGAGACCATTATTGTATTTACCTAACCATCCACTTAATTTCAGAAAATTCTGTGATCAAATATTTGAATGGCAGTGTCTGACCAATGAAATGTTTGAGTGTTTTTCAAATTATTCCTGATCATAGCTTTCTTTCATTATTTTCCTCAGAGGTTATCTTTGATTGTTGGGTATCTGTAGTGCTTCACTAAACAAATTTAATTTATGCTGTTATGATTTCTACTTAGCTTGTAAAATAATTTGTCAACAGGATGAATGTGTGGGAAAATATCAGAGGATTCCAATTACGAGTGTTTTTCTTTATTTGAGACTTTTAAAAATGTCAGTGATGAAGTTTTAATCCATTTGTTTTTTCTTTGTCCTCCTAGGTGGATCTCCTTACTTAGCAACCAAAATAAATGAAGCAAAAGACTTGCTGGAAGCAACCACCAAACATTGATTGATGCCCAAGAAGCACTCTGAAGGAAGAGAAGGGGGAATTTAAAGCAAGAAAGTCCTGCAAATTAATCTAAGCCACGACCTTCACAATTTCCGTACATGTATTGACCACAATCATTTATTTCAATATTAAGGTATATAATAATAAAATATTAATAATCTATCTGTTTATTATCTTTTAAAGGAAGACTTTGCTTATTTTCCTCCTTTCTCTGTGGTAGTTACACAGTGTAAGATTTTTGTTCATTAGTCCTAAGGTCCCCCGGCTCCCCTCCCTCACTCAAGTGTCATCATCAGTAACGTGGGATTTGTGAGCAATTAGTAGAGATTTTCTTACTGCTTCTATTTATATTCACATTGTCCCTTGTTTCCTCAGAGGACTTTAGTACTCTGCCTGTGTAAGGTGCTTTACATGTTTTGAGATCAAACACTGACTGCCTTCCCATGGGGAAATGATCGGAAACTCCATCGAATTTACTAAATGGTGTTTTGTAAAGTAGTGGTTAGGACTTGTTAAAGAACTCTGTTCTTTCTAAGACCCTATAAGTGAAGCATGAGAACTTGGAGAGCTACTAAAATGATTAAAGATTTGCAAAATGAGCCCTGTGAGGAAAGGCTGAAAAGACGTAGGAAAAGTCTGAGGAATTTGTCTTTAATTATAGCCTTCCAGTACTGTATATTTATTCAATTCTTCATTTTGCAAGTATTTATTGACCACCTATGATGTGAAGGCACTATAGTGGGTCCTCTGAGAGTTACAGGTGTGAACTAACCATGGATCTTGACCCCCCCCAAAAGTTATATTTAGAGGAAAGATAAATCACAGGAACACTATTAGGGAAGTACAGGTGATATGCTAAAGAAGTTCAAAGAAAAAGAGAATATTTTAAGCTGAGAGCATAAGGAGGAGCCTCAGAGAATAAGTGGCTTAAGAGCTGGGCTTTAAAAACAATTAGTAAGAAATATACCACATGATTGGTGAGTCAGTGTTGTTTCCCCTGAGATCAGTCACAATTAGTAGAAATAAGATTTATTAGTATGATTGCAGTACAAGGTTTCTCAAAAGCAATTAGATGGATGCATGATCATGAAGGGCCAGCCTTTTATACTGCATGGAATTATTATCTCCTAGAGCCCCAGTCATCATCACTTTGCTACCCAAAGTTGAGAAAACGGATTCAGATACAGGGTACCAGCAATATTTTCCTGTAATCCTTTATAAATCCTGGGTCATCCCAGGTAAACTGAGCCACTATACTTCATCTGTCTTCAAATACTTTTTTAATATTCTAGTTGCATCTCTCAATTTATGACATCCTATATAGTTTGATGGCTCTCAATATTCTCAATATTGACATCTTGAGTTGAGTAATTCCTCTCTCCTGTGCATTGTGGGATAATTAACAACATCCCTGCCCTTAACTGCTAAAGGCCAATAGCACCCCCTCAGGGTGACAACCAGAAATGTTTGCAGACATTGCCAAATGTCCCTTGGAGGGAAAATCGCCCCTGGTTGAGAGCCACTGCTGTAACTTTTAAGTACTTTTTCCTTTGGTACATAAAATAATGATCTCACTGAATATCAGTTGAATCTTAGGATCACTAAAATATTGTTCTCACTTTAAAGTCCCCATGGATGTCCTAATTTTCTTGTGCATTAGGGTTTTTCGTTTTTCTGGTCATTGTTATCCCTGTACCTTGAATGCCCTGATCCCTGCATCTGCACCTGCCAAAAGCCCAGGAATATTCAAGGCCAGGCTAAAATGTATCCCTGTCTTTCTGGCGTTTCCAGCAAAAGTAATACCATGAGTTGCCAGTTCTCTGAGAGCAGGGACCATATCTATCTGTTCACTGCTGCGTTGGCATTCAATAAATATTTGTTGAATGAATGAATAAATTCCCATAGCACTTTATTCCTCACTCATGATAGTTACAACTTGGTACCTTGTGGAAAAAAACTCTTTGTGTAACATGCCTTATTTCTCAAAAATGCAAGAACCATTGGAGCAAGAATCTTGTCGTTCATCTTCATAACCTCTTTTTAGTATGGAGCACTTGCACACAGCAGATACGAAGTTGTGAGCACTGAGAAAATGTTGTTTTCCAAATAGTGTGTTTTAAAAAATGCTACCACTAATTTTAAAAGTTATCTTAAGCAATATTGGGGTGTTCTCAGGACACACTTTTTTAAAAAAAATTATTTTTTTTAACATTTATTATTGAGAGACAGAGCGAGACAGAGCATGAGCATGAGAGGGGCAAAGAGAGGAGGAGACACAGAATGTGAAGCAGGCTTCAGGCTCTGAGCTGTCAGCACAGAGCTCAATGCGGGGCTCGAACCCACCAACTGGGAGATCGTGACGTGAGCCGAAGTCGAACGCCCAACCAACTGAGCCACCCAGGCGCCCCTCAGGATATACGTTTTAATTGACATGCTGTTTTCTAATCCATACTGTATTTTATGAGAATTTGAGCCTGTAGCATTAGCTTGGAATTTCCTTCATCCCATTTTCCTGCTAAGCATGTGCCTAAGAGTCTGACAAGATACAGTTTTGAATACTCTCCTTCTGTTACGTGATCTTGGGCAGTTAATCTGCAAGTCTATAGTGACCTCATTTATAAAATAGAGAAAATAATCCTATTTAATAAGGTTATTGTAGGAAATAAGGATATGTAAAGCATTTAGTCACATAGCAAATGCTCAAAAAATAGAATTATTGCTTTGTTCACTGCCCATTTAATTTAAAATCTTTCAGAATACCTTGAATTAAGGTTTGAAGGTGTGTTCCAGTAATCATTAATTTTACTCTTGAATCTGCAGTTTGGGTACATGGTGGGGACAGTTCGTCTCTATTCCATGCAGCATCAGCTGTCTCTGGAGGAACCACTTCATGTGGCTGGCAGTCAGGACCGGCTTTGGCTGGGAAGTTCTCCAGGACAAGTCAGCCAGGAGCCTCAGTTGCTGTCCGAATAGGCTTCTCCATGGAGCTGTGGAGAGAAGCATCATCACATTCTGGTGGCCGTGTTACAAAGAAAGTGAAGGGACAGGAAGTAGAAGCTGCAAACAGGCCGGGTCTGAAAACTGGCAGTGGTTCCGATAGGCACAGAGAATGCCAAGACTCAAAGGGAGAGGATAGAGAGGATAGCGAAAGAATTAGTGGATTAGTGGCCATTTTTTAAATAAATTTTTTTTTAACGTTTATTTATTTTTGAGACAGAGAGAGACAGAGCATGAACGGGGGAGGGTCAGAGAGAGGGAGACACAGAATCTGAAACAGGCTCCAGGCTCTGAGCTGTCAGCACAGAGCCCGACGCGGGGCTCAAACTCATGGACCGCGAGATCATGACCTTAGCCAAAGTCGGCTACCTAACTGACTGAGCCACCCAGGCGCCCCATAGTGGCCATTTTTAATATGTAGCAGGGCAGGGTTTAGATTTTCCTCTCCTTACTCAAGTCAGTTAAGGCATTGCTTTCAAAATGTTGTCAGGAGTGTAGAATTCAAGTAAACTAGCTAGAGTAGTTTCCGATGACACAACTACTACTTTAGGTAGATATTAATTTAGTAGTCATTCTGCAAATGGCATTGTACTTATGGAATAGAATTTTAAAAGCTACCCACCCTCAACTCCTTATTATCTAAAAAGCTTATTTGAATCGTCACTTATCCTCAGTAAAGATGGCTTTTACATATTTGCTGTCATTGCATATTCTTCTTAATTAGGTTCTTTGTTGATACTGCAGTTTCTGTTTATTCTTACATCTTAGATGCAATCTGAGGAAGCAGGAAAGACCTTTTAAAAAAAAAACAATTACTTCCCAGATTCCAGAGAAAGTGTAAGTCAAATGGACAGTTAATTAAAGGGAGCATAGAATGCCACTTAGACTATAATTGGTGGTGCAATCTCCAGCCTAAAGTCAAAAGTGGAGAGAAGTCTAGTAAGGAAAAAAAAGTATGGTGATTTTGGAAGACATTGTTTTAGTCTTCATACCATTTCCTTTATTTGGTTTGAAAATTATGTGAGGCAGTAAAGTTATAAAATACATTTATTCTTAAAATGTGTAATATGCTCAAACTAAATAGAAAAACAGATTCTTAAAAACAGAAAACTTTTTTTTTTTGCCTGATACTTTTGAAATAAGAAATATTAAGAGCCGTATTACCAGTCATGCTTGTGATGACCAGCATGGTCATTAGAAATAACGTATCATATCCAAGGACAGAAATTCTTTTGTTGTCATGGGGAACCTTGAACACAGAAAAGAGCCTTTAATGACATATTTCCGACACATTTGGCAATTAGCTTAAGGTGGTTTAATGACATACGTAGGAGAAGTTGAATCAGCTAGGCCCTTAATGTCAAAAATACTGAAGTTTCCCTGACTCAACTCACTTAGAATGAACTACAGGGGCCGTGGTGCAAAGTTAAATATCTAAGTAGATCGGCTCATTTTGCACTTTGGCAACCACGCCATCCACAGGCACTCAGCCCCTTGCCCACAGTCACCTCCTTAAAGGCCTCTGGCTCCAAGGAGGATTTGATGGTAGCAAAGTGAATGTGTCAGCATTGTGCTTCCCTCCGAACAGAAAGGCAACCCAAAGAGCATATCCCGTTAACGCTAGATCAGTATCATCTACTTGTCAAAAGCATTCCGTCAATTACGAGCTGAATTTTATTTATGGCAGAGTTATACACATTAGGAAATTAGAATTTTAACTTATTAGCTGGAAAAGTTGAGAAGTTCTCTGGACTCATTTTTTTAGGTAGAATCTAAGTGATTTGGATCATTGCCCACCAGTAAAATTGCTGGGCATGGTCGACAAAGAAAATGTTCCTTCTAATGATTTTTATGAGCTGAGCAGCTATTGTTCCCAGTTGAGTGCTCTTTTCCTTTTTTTATTGTTGCTGAGCAAAAGAATTTATAAAAAGCTTTTTTTTTTTTTTTATTAAAAACCCTGCTCAATTGAAATGCAAGTTCATTAAGTACTATTCATTTCTCTT